CATCATCGCCGTGCAACTTGAGTGCCAAGTGAAGATCAAATTCATCATCAACTCCTCCTCATCCATGTTTCTCGGAAGTCGCCATCTAGCTTCAAAAAAAACAAAACCAATATATATAGTACATCATCAATGCTGTTCGCCTCGGGTGTGATTGTTTAGTATTAACGATAACGATAATACGTAATGTTGATCAACTGGGCCACGAAAGGTGGTGTGACAAGAGTGGTGGTGCTCCCTCCACGTGATATATGTCTCTACACATGGAGTGGAACGAGGCGGCGGTGCTCCGCCAGATACATAGAAAACGCATGGACGTAACGAGGGCGCGGGTGCTCGCGACGCGTATATATACATGCATATGAATACAAATGACATATATATACATGTCGCCAAGTGGGTGGCAGTGTGCCGATTTATTTATATATGAGGCGGCTGGCTAGGGTCATCGCAATTGATGATTTACGACGTGAGGCGAGCCGGTGTCGGTCGCGTGATGTTGTGATCCTATGTACCATATGAACCATGTAGTCATTCATCATATGAGAAACGTATAAGTCATTATGAAATGTAAGTATATGTGTCATTCATCATATTACTTTTAGCAACATTAATATATTATGTCTCAGATATTCAAAGTTCACAAATGAAAGAAACGCTGAAGTTTTCCCTTCATTTGTCTCAGAGCCATGCATCTGAAGTCCAACTCAAATCGCTTACATCATCACACATGTGATATTTTTATAAACTATTATACAAACCGCGGAATTTACATCTGATCTAATTAATAATTTCTAAGTACTTGCATATTGGTGATGCTTAATTAAACTTGTCGCGATTTTGTGATTCAAATATTCATTTCGATTCTCGCTCATTGCATATATAGAGTTCCAAATATATAGAGTTCTAAGTCATTTTGCATATATATCTGATTCAAATATTCATTTTCGATTTTTGATTTTGTGATTCGTAATTTGGAATTTTCAATAAACTCTCGAAGCGCTAACATACCACCACGCTAAAAGCCATGATTTAATGTGATCTATGATTACGTGATGGAGGCTCGTGCCATCGCCAAAGACATCCGATTTAACATATCACCTCGGGCGCAGTAGTGTGGAGGGCCTCGGAATGGTGGAGAGGGCACTGCGAGGCGGCGGTGGAGAAGCCTGAGGAAAGCCTTGGAAGTGAAACCCTGCCGATCGGAAGGAAAGCGCTATCTGAAACTCCCTTACGAGGAAAAAAGAAAGCCCAGCCGGTGATGTCCACGAAGGCTTGAGTAAAGACCATATTGTGATGCTGGGCCCCATGAGTAGCGGAGGAAGTGTGATCAGAGGAGCCAGGTCGCCACGGAGGAGAATGGCTGATGGGGCGCCGCCTGTGAGTGGAAGCACGAAGAAGAAGTGAGTGGCGGTGTCACGGAGAAACAGATCTTGGTGCTGTGGAGGCGAGGCAGAGGAAGAAATGGCTTGATTCAGCGAGGGAAGAAAGGCAATAATGTGGATCGATTCGCGCCAGCACTGGAGGTTATATATCAGAGAAAATTGTTTTAAGTAGTTACCAACTTGAAGATAGCAGGTATACCTTACTCAGTTGATAACTACTGCCCAGTAATCATGTTTATGGTTGATGACTAGCAGTTCGATTTTACTCCCGGGTGGCCGGAGTAAAGGGTCAGTAGCTTGTGGCTGCTTTTAAGCAAGAGTCTTATTAAATACAATAGAAAGGCGTAAGTTTTTGTTAAATACATAGTAAATTAAAATAAAAGGCATAAAATTATTTTTGTAAAAATATGACCTTTCTTTTGTTTATTGCACATAGGAAAAAATCTATAACCTAACTTTTTTTTTATTTTTTGTTAGAATTATAAAACATACGTAACTAATATTTATTGCGTGTAGATTAATGCAAAAATATAGTGTTTAATTAAAATTATTTAAAACGATTTAGACGGACAGAAATTTTGTTTTCCACGTCATTTTTAACGCTAATATTTTAATTTTTCTCATCACTCTAGAGTATCCTAATTTTACCTTTTTGAGAGAGAAATCCCACCAAATCAAACAGTGATTTGAAATTTGAAATACGACATAATAAACATCAGAATTCTGAATTATTACATAATATCTCAACACACACTATATTAAATCACTATATCATCAAGTGAGCACGGCCGCTGAACTGCTAACTTTACGTATGTCCCATAGTTATGAACGCTTCAGTAACCATGGAGTGTCCCTATTATTTACCAAAATGCTAGGGTCTTTGTTCTACTTTGAAGGGCGGAATTCGGTATATTCTTCCCGTATGTCCAGGCTTGTCCTCAATTCCCCACGTATGACTCTTTTCACTGAGAAAAAGAACTATGTGGTATGCTTTTAAAACTCTTTTGATTTGAGTCATTATCGTTTTCCCTCTTTTTTTGGTTTGGTAGACATATTTCATTGACATAGAACACCTGATTCACATATCCTTAGCAAGAGACCAGATGAGTTAAGTCTTTGTACCCAATACGCTAAAGGTCTCATTGTTGTCATTCCATATAGATTTGTCTCATCGTTAATTTCGCCTCCGGTCACCTTGACCATTGGCACTTGGAACAATGGGATCTTCGAAAGTGAGGTGCATATTCTAGTTCCCATATTTCATCTATAAAGTCCATAATATACAATCATTTATTCCCATTCAGATTGTGGCATCTGTCTATGCGACACCCACTTCGTTTTTTGAATTAAATACTCACTTTTATCTTGGGCTCATCGTGGTAGAATATAATTCCCATTTATCTTGCACTTTTGTATGTGACGATATGCCATGATGGCTGTACATAATAATAAATACTGATTGCTCATGGATGCTCTCAATCACTTGACATTTTTTTCGCAACCAACTTGCGATAAATTTCCAGCGTGCTTATGCGTAATCCAAGCTTCGTCTTCCCTAAAACCTCTCGGATCGTAAAGAGATCCTTGTGTGTGTCTCAATATCTGAGATCTACCAAGGAGTTACATCAAGCTGTGAGTGTGCTTTATTAAAAATAACCATCATGGTACAATATATTTTCACTCCTAGTGTCACTAAAAGCAAAATCTCCCCTCATATACAAATTCCGAAACACCAACTGAAAGTCAAGAGTCAGAATAAAGTCTTTCCTGAAACATTCCCATGTGTGCTTCCATGCAGAAAACACGATTTGAACATATTTCTTGAGGACTCCATGAATCTCTCTAAAGGAACATGTTATTGTAGGAA